GGCGGTCGACGCCGTTGTTTCGAGAGCATCGATCAGCGTGTCACTGCTTGACGATCGAGCACCGTCGCCTTTGCCGTCGTCAGCGGGGCACGGGGAGGGGGGGAAGCCAAGGCAGACACACTAAACACACATTGAATCGCAGAGAGGTCATGATTACCCTCTAACGATAATGGCAGCCCATCATGCCTTGGGAGATGCCACGAAATTCCTGGTATCAGCCAAACTAGTGGCGTGGAATAATTATATGAGTCGTCATTGCCAACAACATTGTTTATTACAATAGCAACTTTCGATCGGTTTTTTGCCATCAACCATCATCATCAGTTTTCTGCTGTATGGAAGCCACAAACAAAACTAGTCGTTGTACTGGCTGTAGTGATGATGATGGCTAAGCCATCGATATCTGCTATTATAATAAACAATATTGTTGGCCATGACGACTCATATAATTATTTTATTGCAAATGCCAACGAAAACTCACCACAATACCATTGTGTGGAACCAAATCGGAAGGGTATGCACTTTCAGCCACCCTACATCAAGGACCCTGTAAGAATCTGAAATTCCGATATCGTATAGTATATACAATTTTGATTCGTTGAAAAAATGTGCAGACGAAAGTGATTATAATTATTTAAATAAACCTAATAACCAAATGTAATTTAATCTATTTTTTTCACCCTCGCTTGTAGTTACTTGTAATCTATACGTACGTTTCAGAGTATAAGGTCACTCCTTCTACCTTCCAGTCAACTACGCCAAGGGAAGTTTTCACAATGCCAACCGCGCACTTTATTGACGGCCACTGCCCTGGCATTGCAGCTGTGCAACAAATAAACAGATTTTGCTGCATGCAATCGAAAAGTGTTTTACATAATGTAGCCTTTCTACACGAGTTGACGCTGAGGTTGCGAAGTTTTTTGGCAGAAACAAGAGCATCGCATCATAGCTGGAAAGTATATCTTGACATACGACACGCTTTCTGTACAGGAAAACACAAACTTTGATGAATGTTTTGGATTAGATTCGCTTCAGATCGAATGAGACAAATTGAATGTAAACCGAACCGAGCTTGTCTGCCTCACGGGACATGCGGCGCTGGGCGCTCCGCGAGTGTCGCGCCCAGAAGAGGGAACGGATGCTATTCGAAACACCTCGCATATATTCCGTTAAGGCGCGTCCCCATCAGACAACTTTTCGCAATTATTCGCGAGGGGATATACATATGTCTGTAAAGGTGCTTTTGAGAGGTTCTCAGACATTGATGCTACCAAGTTCTTATTACATTGTCATTGGAATGCGCATTGCGAAATCGGATAACGTTATTTACGAATGTTCATAAAATGTAGGAATGTCTTCCTGTCGACATACATAATATGTATTGATATTTATTTGGTTTTAACCAGTATCATAAAAAAATAGGTATTGGTTTATTTGTTAATTTTTGCTACTGCAAGTACCAAAATATTCATACGTTTTTGTATTAATTCATTACTCTTTTGACTGACTCGTGATTTCAACAGCTATTTTTCTATTACAAATATTTCTACATCCACAGAATGTAGAACATAAGGCTAGGATGTAGATTTCTGTACAAACTTTCGGACGTCAACTTATTTGTAATAATGTGCGTTATGTTTTGCAAACAAGTTACATTTACATTCATTATATGTTAAGTATTATGTTTGTGGCAAATATGACGTACGTGTTCTTGAAGAAAATATGTAAATATAACTCGTGATATCAAATTATAGCAAACATTACGACTAGATTTTAGTATTAGTTATTAATTATAGTATTATTATGACAATATTATTGTACTAATGATATCATTTTTACGTTCAGTAGTATATTAGGTGTGTACTGATTAGAAAAACATACATTTTGCAACATTTCCGTCTCTATACTTGACACTTCTTGAAACATTTAGCCTCGCGTTTTATCTGGCGCAATGCAGCCAGGAAGTTTCAAACTCTTTTTTATGTGAGTGCAATGTTTTATTTTTAGCCTTTCAGTGCATGCAATTTAAACGTAGCTAAAGGTAAGTTACGGTGGCAGGTAGGGGGTACGGTGGCACTAGGGGTATAGGTATACTATATTGCCAGTTTTGTAATGTGTCTGATTCACAACCACAATAGTGAAGAC